TACAACCTCTGCTATATAAGACAACCATGTGGTACACTCCAAGCCATGGCGCGAGCTGCTCGCGTGTGCTCGTGCAGCGGCAGCATGGGATGGAAGGGGGGGGGGTGCCAAGTGACCTCTCCCCTCTGCATCCTTCCCCTGCGAATGCTCAGCCGGACCTGAGCGCGTGCAGGGTAGGGAGACAGGGGGGAAGAGCTTGGATGGAGGGGGAGATGATGTGAAGTGCACGCTTGAGTAGGAGCACGCAGCAAGAGAAGGATACAACCGCCTGCAAAATTGCAAACTAATCCAGATAGAGTAACAAACTAAGATGTTGTTTTGAATGTAATAACACCCTCACGCTATATAACGCTATACACGCTATATAAGAGAGCCATTTAGTATGTTTCGAAACATTGCACAAGCTGCTCATATGGCAGCTGGACGTGAGCTCGCGCGTGGGCTGCTCCATCTATTATGATGTGATCAAACAGCGCAGTATGAACAGCTAAGTGAATGAACAAATTGCGTTTCTATAGGTTGGAAGGAAAGTCTTGTCACTGTTGTGACTTTTTTCTTTTTTATTTTCTAACTCAATATACAGTGGGAATTAGTCAACAATATACTCGTCATAGTTAGCCACTACAGTGCTCCACCCAATGGACAGGTAAGCATTCCCCTCCTCCCAGAACTGAGAAGGCTGCGAGTAGAGTAAGTCAGCGCCCTCTCGACTGATGTCATCAAAATTGCTGAAAGTTTTCTTAGCTAAGAAAGCCTTAAGGAGGCGGAGCAGGTAGCAGTCGTAGGGGACTACGTCAGGAGAATATTATGAGCGGGGACTGGTCTTCCAGCCTTGCTCCTCAATTATTTGGTAGGTCTTCATAGCAGGTATGGGGTCTCGTGTACTACGAACGAGGTGACCCGAAGCTAGTCTCGGTCATTTTTCTCCAACAATTTTCACTCGTTTCGGGAGCTGAGCGACACAGATGGTGGCGGTGATCGTCTGGCGTCCCAGGAGCAGCAGGAGAACCTTTTTGGAATACATGCCCGGTTTGGACTGCTAGAATGGATCTTCTCCTTGAGAGAGACAAACGGTACTGTGTGGGTTGAAATCATAGAGGACCCATCTCTCATCCCCACTAAGCAGTCTCCCGGAAACTCCTTCTGACGAGGGCAGAGAAGGGGAGACTAAGCAAGGGGTACCCGGGTGCACAGCGTGCCATCGGTCAAGGTATGAGTGATCCATCGAGCCAGTACTTTTTGGTAGTCAAGGGCTTACAGGCGGTGGACGACTGTCAGTTAGGTACATCCGAGTCTTGTCGCAAGACTGGTGGTAGCCTCTGGATCCCCCTTGTCTGCTTCGAGAATGGTGGAGTCTTATACTTCTTGGGGCCGTCCCAACCAAGGTTTGTCTTCGAGGATCGAGTCTCTTTTCGCGAAGCGAGCGAACTAAAAGTGAACGATCCTGACGGTAGTGGTGTCCTCCTCAATGCACTGTTGATGTTACGGACAGCCTGGCCCCAGTGCCGCGGGCCACTGATAGAAGATGATGACCCGAAGATACTCCTGTGAAACTGACATCGTAATTAAACCCAGGGAAGAGCAGGCGCCCTCACACGCCTCTTGCAGGAAAGCTCCCAGAGTGTCCTACAAGCATAGCATGTTACGTCATGTACGAGCATCGAGAATCAAAAACTGTAAGCTTTTCAAAAAACACTGACAGGACTTTCCTTAAGACCTATATTATGAAGTGCGCCTGCGAAGCCAAGGTAGCTACAGAGGAGGAGGAGAAGGGCTGGGCGATTCGACTGGTATAAACATAAACTGATTAACCATGAAAGTTAGTATTGTTAGAATCAAGGATAATCGGGTGGCATGGAACAAACATTTGACGAAATCGTTGACAATGCGGGAGCCATGGGGCTTACTATCCGACGGAAAGGTCTCAGGTTCCATCCATGCATGGCATACTCTTCGGTAACCATTTTATAGCCGTTTTGTGGCCCCTACCGTCTGATCGTGCTTTAAATGTTGAACATTGAACGGAAAAACAGAAATTGCTTCTTTTTGACTCACGCAGGAGGATTTGATACATATAATAGAGGCTTGCACTTGTTTCCCGCGCTGGGTTTCATCATAATGTCTAGCTGGCTAATGCTTGGTTACTAGTAAATGGAATGGTTTAGATAATCGGGTAGTAGAGCCACAACAGAAGGCTCATGGGCCACCAACATATCAGAAAAAGAGAGTATCGGAGAATGTCTTCCTCAGAGACTTCATCTATAACAGTAACTTCTGATACATGTTTCTAATGCTGACACCATTTAGCGTCGGAAGGGCGCTGAAACAACACCGTACCGTGAGTTTTTGAGTAATAACGTGGGAAGAGCTTGAAGCGCCAAATTGGCGGCAATCAAAGCGGAAACCAAAAATGAATGGCATCCCGTGAACGGGGCAGCCATTAGCCCTGTCAGTTGAGTCTATACTAAATCTTCCTTGGTTAGATGGCGAGGTAATATTGTTTGAAAGTATAAATTCATGAACAACTAGCTGAAGAAGGCATACTGAAATTGCAAGTTATATCCATACACGGACAAATATGAGTACAGGGCAACGTGACCAAAAAAAATCAGAATTTTCGTAGGAGGAGTAGAGCTCTGGAGCTCTTCGATTGTGCCGACCTGAGTGCAGCCTACTTCCCACCGCGCCATCCGAACTCGTGGAGACCCCACTCTCTCTTCAGTGCTTGCCATACTAAACCCCATTCATGGCTACATGGGTAGTTTCAACATACAAACAGTTTTTTCACAGCGTAGTCAATGTGTCAAGCAATATTTGCTAAAGTGGTGGAAGGCGAATTTCCCAAGAGTTTTTCACTCTACTTTTTTACATTATCAAAGCCGTGCGGAAGAACCAAATACGCGCAGGCATTCCACGCATTACTCATTTGCGGGACGTGCTTCTGAGAAGCATAGAAAAAGACCTCCCACAAACTGTCAAACTTATATACCATCAAGCGATGGGCATAAAAGTGCTTGTGAATAGTGCTGAAACATGGACGCCTCTGGCAAGCCGAAAGGAAGAAAGGCGATGAACACAAAGTAATCCCGCTTTCTCACATCGCCCACATTTGATATCCTTGTGTTTTAAGACAAGTCCTAATTTTTTCTTTCTTTGTTCTTTATTTTATTTTTTATATTTTAGTTTTCTTCTTTATTTTTTATTTACACGGCGATTTGGCCCGCGGGCCACACTGGTTACAATTTGCCTCTCCCCTTTCATTTTGATACTATTTGTTCTGCCTCTATAATATGGGAGAGGAGCAGGAACTGTAATCCCTTCAACATGACGTTCTATGAAAATAATGATAGACAGATAATCAAACACAGAATGTTGTATCTGAGCTTTGAATGAACATGCCTCATTAGATAGCATTGAGACTACTTATTTGCTTACCTTCATTACTACATTAGAAACGTCGTACGAAACGCAACAGAGGCTCAACAAGAAAAACAACATCTGAAACATTTGGAGATTAGTTGTTTCCGAATCATCCTCATTTAGAACTTAGAGGCGAACGACTTGGAGGTATACTCGAAATCCCTGAGATCGGGTAGGCGGAGCATTCGAACACTGTAAAGAACTG